GACTGAGAAAGGTCAAGATGTCCTCATCGTTCACCAGCTGCACAGCACTCTCAGTTCTTCTTCCTCTTTTCGCGCCCCTTTTGCGATGTAGCCAGAGTCTTGCTCTTGTCTGACTTGGCCATTGTCCTCCAAATACGATCCCACGCTTGACTATGTAAATGTTTGAAGAAAGCATAATTTCCTTTCTTTAAAAAAAGTCTCACCATATTATGAAGATTTTGGGGAAACATACTGGTACTTGCCTTCAGATGCACATCAAAGAACATTTTTACTTCTGATGAATGTACTTTGTTGTCTTCCTTGGATGGACCCACTGAAATGGGAGGTGAAATGTCCAGTTTCATTTTTGATCAACTCATGTATTAAACTTAAAGCCAGCTGATGGGTTTATGAATGCATAAGTACATATGGTCTCAATCTAATTCTGCGCTGAATACTGTGAAAGCTACACTTGCATCAGATGTGTCAAGAATACTCTATTACACTCTCATTAAAATGTATATATATTCTCATGCTCATGTAACACATGAACATGGAATAAAATAAAATACTAAATAAGACACTCCATTAAACCTGACTTACATTTTTTCACAGATAAAAATTGTGACATCAGTAGCACAGAGGAGGGTATGTTAATTTAAAAATACTGTATCTGATTTAGACCAGTTGAGAAACTCCTCTAAAACCAGGTTTTTTCAGTATCTCTTATGTTCTTGGCAGATTGGGTAAGGTAGTTCCTAAGATATAGATCAGTGTGGTAAAGCCATGTTTAATATTTTCATAGTAAAAAGTCAGTTGAACTTCATCTCAGCATTTTGGATCTTATTTGAAGCTGTCCTTCTGAGGTGGCTGTATTGTGTACCTCTCTGTGGAGATTTTCCCTTTAAATTAGAACTATTTTCACAGGTTATCTAGGTCACCCTGCTGCTGTAAAACAGGGCCCACATATTTCTGGCAGAAATTAGTCTAATCTGTTCTTAGAAACATCAGTCTCCTATGGCAAAGCATACCTGCAGCAATAAAGGACAATTTTTAACCTGAAGCAATGTGAAGCAATGTCTCATGGTGCATCGCTTCGATAGCTCCAATGTTTTACATTGAAGCATTTTGCTTTAGAATAGAATATTTCAGTTGGAAGGAACTAGAATGGTCATCTAGTCAACTACCAACTGCTTAAATTGGGTTAAGCTTTGCCCCAGTCTTCTTGATGGTCAGTGAGTGAGAGTTTTGATGCCTTAATTCTCATTAATATTAGTGAAAATCTCAGGTATTTAAGCTCCTCACATATTGATGGGAGGCCTGTTTGTCAGTACATCAGGCACAGGTAGTGTGGTACTGTTGGAGGTGAACAACTGTACAGATTCTAACATTTTAATTTGACTTGTAACATCAAAATCTTCAGTTGCTTTATTTTGAATCTTATGCAAACAAACAGAAACTCACCTTTCTTTCCCCCCTGGCATCCTCTTCCTGGGGTAAGTCCTGTGTCAAAACACTGGTGTGTTCCTTTGAAGTTACCTGTCTACTTATTTAGTGTATGCATGTGAATGGAGATTCATCATTACTTTCAGTGAGGCAATTTAAGTCTTATTCAATACGATTTAACAAACACACATGGATGAGACTCTGCTCTGGGAAAAGCCTGTTCTGACAGCAGCTTGTTTTGTAAAAAAACATGGATAAATAAAACAGGGATTGTTCTGCATGTATTGTAAACATGTTCTCTTCTCTTTTGCTCTATGTTTGTCTTAAACTATAGTCTAAGGTATCTCTACAAATCCAAGGATTTATGTATTCCTTCATTTTCTTAAACTGTTTATATACCTCTGCACATTGCTGAATTGCTACCATTTTCCATCCTTTGATTTTAGTAAAACTTCTACTTGTTAAACTTCTGGAAGTTTGTACAGCCTTTACATTCATATGTTTGTTCAAAAATTGTGCAGGAATGGATTCTTACAGGACACTTGTGTTAGAAAAGTAAGCTCTGTTTTGTCTTTTTCTAGTTGGTGAAACAATGGTTTAAAGGAAAATGGTATAATTTTCTGAGAGCACGGGAGGCAGAGTTCCAATTAGAAATCATGACTTCTGACTTCTTACCATGTGCTCAAGTCAAAACCCCCACTCTCTTGTCGTAGAGTGAAATAGCTGCTAGACAGAGTATCTACACTGGTCTGCCAATACCTAACTGCTGCTTAAAATCTACCGTGAAACATATCTGGGATATTGACTGCAGCTGTGCCTTCTGCATCAGCTTTGTAAGATCATCTCTGTTATATATCAGTTTCTCAACTAGCTACCTTAGTAGAGTCTTCCCGTGTTTTAATTTATATCATATAAACCACTTTAGAATCAACATTTCTACATACACTTAGGGTAGCTATTATTAATACCAGAAAATGAAAGACTTTAACAGAGTTCTTCTTAGGAAAAGAGTTATCTTTTATTTTAGAGATACGCATGACGAGCACAATAATCCATTGAGCTGTTTAAGTGACATAATATTTATAAGAACATTTTATGTTCCCTACCCTGAACTTCCCTTCTTGTTCTTAAATCAGTACAACACATTTTCCTTTGAAGACAGAAACAAACAGGCCACGATTTTTTTGTTAAATTGTTTGGCAGAAATACAATTTGAATATGAAACATCATTTATACTAGCAGAGAGGAAAAGAAAACTCACAAAAGCTGTTTTAACTATACCAGCTCTTTACTTCCTTCCTCTTGACTTATTTGTGGGATATCAAAGTCAGGCAACTCTCACCACTGAAAGGCTCACCCAGACTACACTGGACTATGCCAGTCATGGTAAAGTGGATAGCTGTTTCAAAAAACAGTAGCATGCTGTTTCTGTCATATGAATCTGCTTTCTTCTTACCATACAAGCCTTGAATCCTGTGTCTGTTTTGCTGAATAATCTCAAGTATGCAAAATCAGCCCTCAGGCTTGCAGAATTTGTGTTGATTCACAATATACACAGTAGTTATTGGCTTTAATGTAAATTGATTGAATTCCATGGAATCCATGGAAGTTATGTTACACTGATTTACATCAGCTGAGCCACTTCTGGGAGTACTTGAATTTATTTAGTTCAGTAAGGAGATGTTGTGACTCAGATTTAAGATATTTGCCTGTAGAGGAAGGGAGGTTCTAACTGCTTTACATGATCTCTCTATTTGATGTTTCTTCTAAATACTTTTCTGATATTTCCTGCTGAAACTCCCTGTATCTATTACCATAACCCTTTCCTGTCAAGAGATTTAGAGAATGAAATAATTGATCTCTTTTACAAAAAATGTTACTTCTTTCTAATACTGTCACTCTTCTCCCTACTGACACTTCAAGTTCTTAGAACTTATGTGAAATATAGGTGGAAGTAAGAGAAAGTATCCTTTTAAGTTCGATGTCACTCCATTCTGGCTGATAAGTGCTGGGAACCATAATGACCTTTTGATGGTCAAAATGAGCAGCTGTGCCACAGCGTGTTGCAAAGCTGAGATACACACAAAGGAAATCAGATTTTTCCTCTGATCCTGGATCCTTTCTAACCTATTTAGTATCTGGAGCCTCCAAGTCACATATGAAAAGAAATATTAACTGTAAGTGTAATGCAACTAAAGATTTTTGTAGCTATTGGTTAAAAAGTGAGCTGGAAGCTCTATCCTCAATGCAATGCTTCAGAAATGTATTGCTTCTAGGAAAATGTGACTGTAGTAAAGAGCTGAGCTCTTAAATTGTTCAGTATCATAAAAGGGTTTCTATTGAGAAAGAGTCATGACCCACTTCAAACTCAAGGTGTAATCATGTTGTATGTTCAAATTATATAGAATCAGTTTATGGTGCCACTCTGATCCCATTTTGTAAATCCTTCAGCTTTAATTTCTGAGCAAAACAGCAAAGGCACTTTGGGAATAAGTTCAGAGAATGCAGCTTAAGTGACTTTATTTTAACTGTAATCTGATTTAGGTCTGATATGAAATAAATCAATCTGGTTTCAAAGAAATAATAGGCCAGTGACAGCTGTATTGTGGCAAGATTACAGCAGGGATTTGGTTTAAAATGGATCCAGCATCTTTAAAGCCTGCACGTGGTACCATTATACCAGTGGATGCTGAGGAACCCAGCCTTATCCTGCTACTGCTAACACTGGCAGCAGAGAGTGGGGAAGTGTGATTCTGAGACACCTGAATTATTTGGAGGTGAGCCAGCTTTGATTCGGATGCCTTGGTAGCTTGACACAGAGGTTAGGCTAGGAACTCTGGCTGGAAGTCAGGGCTTATTAGCTCTGATGTACTGCTGAGGTCACATGGGATATATGGTGTCTCAGTCCCAAGCTGGGAGGTCCATCACTGTGCTTGGCATGTGAGTGGCTTTGACCTCAGATATCCAGTAAGCTTTGGCTGAGGAACGATTTATGCTAAAATTTGTGAAGCTTTCAGGCTTTAGGAGCATGTTCAGAAGTGATAGTTTTGTGTATCCATGTAAATATGGGCCTGCTTAAGTCAGTAAGCTAAACAGCATTGTGGTTTGCAAAGTGTCTTCTATTTCTGTCAATACCAGGCCAGGTCGTGTTCATTGTTCAGTAACAGTTCAATTGCCTAGCACTATTAATACTATTAGTATTATGATTTAAGGACATAAATCACTACCTGGGTCCCTCTCCAAACACCACCTTGTGTAATTTATATCCAAACTAGTCAAAATTTTTATGTTCTTATTGGATAAATGGTTTTCTGCATCATTCTGAAATTTTTGCATATGTAGCTGGCCCATCCAGTTCTAGAGGTAATGGGTGAAGCAAACCCTTGAGGTGGCTTGTGCATGGATGGACAAAACACACATGGAGCCTTCCAGATGAGAAGAATTGCATCTATGTGAATAACATGGTTCATGCAAAAGTCTTTGAAAATGTTTTTTAGGAAAGTTGTATATGAAGATCAAGGCCATACACTTAGGGATTTGATACTGAATAGGATGTTTTTCACTTTGTATTTCAGTGGCTGTTCCCTCACCAGTGCCAGCTTGTGAACCCAAGCCCAAAACTAACGGGCATTACCCAGCTCCACGACTCTCCATTTCCTCCCGAGCCACTGTTGTTGCTACCATGGAAGCTCCTTCTCAAGGCCTACAGACAGTCATGAAGTGGAAAACAGTGGTGGCCATCTTTGTCGTGGTGGTAGTTTACCTGGTGACGGGAGGACTCGTCTTCCGTGCCCTGGAGCAGCCCTTTGAAAGCAGGCAGAAGAACACCATCGCCCTAGAGAAGGCTGACTTTCTTCGGGAGCACGTTTGTGTAACCCAACTAGAGCTGGAAACACTGATTCAGGTAGGCCATGTGAAGAAGAGAGTAATTCTTGAAAGTTAGGATAAACAGTTTGGTGGTTCGTTGATCAGCTAACTCGAAGGGGAAAGTCTGGGAAACAGAAACCATGTCTCCAAAACATTGTAAATAGAGGTTAAATATATTCACTAGAATAATGAAAAATGTGTGCAAATAAAACCAGATGTTAATATCTGGAAGAAAATCTTGTGAGAGGTGACAGATTTACGAGACATTTGCTCATCATCTCTGTAAATTTGAAATGATATGAAGTTCTTAATTCTTCCTCCAAAAATAAACACAGCAGCCAGGAAGCAAACAGAAAAGGATAGGCAGGAATTTTGAAATAAATATCAAGTCAAGAATTCTGAACTTACCGTAGTATTAATTTACAGGTTTACTATTGCAAATTTAGGTAAATGAATGATGATGAAGTATACAGTTAAAAATATAAACTAATTGGCATTTAAGAGCTACAGAATTTTTAGTCTGGCCTAGTATGCAAAGCTTTAGAATCAATTTTGAAGGGAATAAATAACAAGTATGTCACAATAAGTGGGAAATGGAATAATGTGCAAGAAAGGTCTATTAAGGATAGAGTTGTATTTCATTGATTAAAACTCTAGAGAAGGAAAGTATTATGGATCTTACAAGACTTCAGCAGGGTATCTTCTAGGATCCCATGTAGAAAACTATCAGCATGGAGTAAATAGAGATTAGATAAGAAATGTGAGATACCTAAGGAATATATTCTGAAAGTGAACTTCAGTCTCATATTTCAGACCTGTATTTGTGTCTGAGCCTTCCAAGAGCACAGTGTGTTTCCCTCTGGTGTGTATACCAGAGCCCCATTGTGATTTCAAGTTGTTTGAAAGAACACAGAACTATCCCCTGGATTCTTGCGTCCATACACCCAACTGTGTTATAACCCCTTTCTATAAGTGAAACAAATTTATAAGCTTAAAATTTCTTTTGAGAAGCTGCTCCAGTATCTCATTGCTGTGATTAAAAAAGCATTCTCCTACTTTTCAGCCTAAACTTGTTCAGTTTCCCTGTAGCTGGTCTTCCACAGACAACGTCCCATTGCTTAATTGATTCCTCTCCCTTGTCCACACATGTAGACAGCAATGCTCTTCTGCCTCTCCTAAGCAAAACAAATTATTTCTGTTTCTTTGCAGATAGATGTGAGCTCTCCCTCCTTGTGCTCTGTGTTCACTGAAGACAGGTCAGTTCTGAGTCAGAAGCTGTGTACCTGTACCTTTGGGCAGCCTGGTACTGTAGCTAAGAAGCCAAACCTGCTTCAGCAGGAAGTGGTATTGTGCTGATGTGACTATACAGCTTTTGGATCAGGGCTGGCTTGGATCACATCCTTCATCTGTCTGAAAAAGACAGTTGAACAAGTTTGGTTGGCAAGGGTGAATTCTGTCCAGAGGTATCGGTTCAGATGCGTTTCTCATGGCAGCGTTGCAGAGATCTGTATTTCCCTCAACTCCTTAGGTATAATTTGTGCTGGCTGATTAAAGGATTTTTAAAAAATACTAAAAGCAAGAAGTTTGCATCCCTTTGATGGGAGTGTCACTATTAAAATATGTGCAAAATGCTTTATTTTCTAGCAGAAAGAAGAACACATAATAGGTGCAACAAGCAAAGCACCTCAACAAGATGGTAGACTCCTGTATACTGACTGCAGTATAAAGATTTCTAAATAGCCCCTATTCTCTAGCCTAAAACATGTACCAGTTTTAGTTCTTTATTTGACACAGTATTTTTCCTTTCATCTCAAAAGTGGTGACACTAAAATAAAAACAGGCATACTGTGTCATTAGAAGGCAGATATTCTGAACAAGTATTATCATCTCTTGAGATTCCTGTATGTCCTCAGGCATTACGCTGGGTAACTTGAAATCATTTTTCACGGGTAAATTAAATGGCTTTAGCAGCTTAGCATGTGAATGTCTTAAGGCCAAGTGATGTGAAATATTGAAACAGATTTGTCAATACAGAACAAGTTCCTTTGGATTCTTCTGTATGTCTGGGGTGAAGCTGACTCCAGGGATGTAGTTGGATATGCTGGCACAGGAACCTGATTGTAACTGACTTGCACAGAAGAACAGTGAACTACTGCTTGAAGATAATGTCAGAGGGTTGACGTTGTGCTTTCATGCCTTCATGTCAATGATCTCAAAAGTGACATCTCCCTGGCTGGCACAATGCATTTCTGCATTGCACCAAATGCTGCATCTGCCTTTACAACTGTGATTTCAGACTGATGTGGCAACCTCCATGTGTCCTGGCTGCTGTGCTGTGTGCAGTCAGCACCTGGATACTGCTAAGGAGCTATTTATAATTGATGTTATTTAACTACCTGAAAACTTTTAGATGAACACCGATCATACTCTCCAAAATGACTGTGTTGATTCACCTCTGTGATTTGGAGAATATGGAAAAAATACAAAAAGAGAGACCCTAGAACTGACTTGTATTCTCTTCCTGTGGGGGTGGCTCTGGAACAATCTTTTAAGGACAAGAGGAAAGGAATGTCTTGGTCTTTACAAATATAATGATGGAAAAAATTATCCCTTTGACTAAATTTCAATCTTATCAAAGGATTCTCCTTTGGAAAACCTATAAAGAAGTTGTACAGAACTGTATGAGGAAGCTGTTAAAATTTAGTGTAGATGAAACATCCTTTCCAACTTGATCTGCAATAACCCATTGCAAATATTAGCACTGGTAGCACAAATGTGAATTGCTGAGTCCAGACTGTGAAGTTCATTCATAGACTTCAGAAGCAATATAATGATGAAAGCAGCGCAAATCCCTAGAACATTCAACGTATTTTAAATTTGTATTTATCTCTTGAGTTTTGGTTCAGGTCTGTCTAATGCTAACACAATAACACATATTTTTTTCCTGACAATAGCAAATATTTCACAGTGCAGTCTATATTGTGAAAAGTCCGCTGAAGCAGAAGTTGTAAGTGCTAACGTGTTACAGAACTTTTTTTAAATTGTTCTTATATGTCATAGGATAAGCTTATTAGTAGCTGTGGTCAAAAACAAGTCATCTTGCCTTTGTAATAACACACACTTGGAGTGTATAGGGGGGAGGTTATGCCTCCCAGAAAGATCAGATGTTATCTATCATTAGGAGAGGCAGGCAGGAAGACCATCAATGTGTTTTGGCAAAGTAATTCCTATGGACCTGATGAGGGTATTCATATTCTGTTTCTATGCAGCCTGTGCACTGTGGATTAGTAAAAACTCTTGTAATGAGTCCTGCTTTCATAATGAGCCCTGCAGAATGACGTAAGATAGAGTGGCTTGCTACTGTAAGTCTCTTAGGTTATGGGCAGGCTGCTTTCTTCCTCCTTTTCCTTCGGGGTTTAATTTAGGAGTGCAAGTGATTATAGTATATATAAAAAAAAAAAATACCCACCAGGGAACTAAGTCATGTTGTCAGTGTCCACTAATGACTACGGCAACTCATTAGAGTTAAACTGTAAGCTGAAAAGGAAGCAGAGCTGGAAATAAGCTAGTCAGGCTTTAGTGGCTAATTATGTTAGTAAGAGTTCATATTTTGGATAGGCACTTTTGATTAGTATTCTGAACTACTTTTTGCCCTGAAGGTAAGCAGGAAAGGGAACATCCTGTAAAGATGTTTCAGTTTTCAGCTGCTTGACAGGTTCACTCGTGTCATAAGCCAGCTTGTCTTTTCAGGGTGTTTCCTTGTAAAATGAAGAGAACTTGGATGGCTTTCATGGGCTAGAAGAAAGCTCTAGATGGAGCAGAAAAAAAGAAGTATTTTGAGTTAACTATGGGGAAGACTTGCCTGTTGCTGAAGACAGGAAAAGACTATTTGAACTGTGAAGAAAAACAATGGTAAATATCTGATTACTGAACCTTCTGCCTGTGCCTCTGGAGGTTGTCTTGTATATGTCCCAATTCCCTTTTGCCCCTGATCTTTATTTTACCGTATTCCCCCTAAAAGGATATGAAAAAAGAATTCAGATCTTTGGGTCCTGTCTAAGTTGGTGCAGGCACCCTAGTTTGTAAATTCAGTCCAGAGATATTCCAGCTGTACAGGAGACAGACTGAGCCTAGGATGTTGCAGAAGTCTGCAGCTGTCCTGTAGCTATGTTGCTTCCAGAACTTAGCTAAGAAGTTTGCAGGGAGCTAAACACTTTGGATTTAGATCTCTGTGCATGTCCCTTGTTGAATGCTGTAGGTCTGCCCTCAGAAACAGTGAATACAAGACAATCAGATGTCTCTAAGTGTACATAGATCACTATCTGGCTGATTGTCACCTAAAGACCTTTAAGGACTAGGCAGAAAGGGATGGGCTTTCAAACAAAAGTTTCTGGCCTTGGTCCTTTGAAAATGCTGTTGTGGAAAGTGAATAACTGGTAATTTATAATCAGGATCCCTTAATCACTGTATGAGGGGGGGTGGTGAGAATAAGTAGAGAGGTAGGGAGTATAGAGAAAAATTATTAAGGAATTAGTTCTTGAAAGCTGCTTGCTAATGAGAAGCATCCTAATAATCATAATAGAGAAACATCAGAGGATGAAAGGCAATTGAAACAACTTTTTGTATGCTTGATAGGAATCTGCTTGGGAAAGAATTGTAGAGACAGATAATCATTATTGGATTAGCATGATCTGTGGAGAGGAATTAATAGAACTAGAAAAGATTACAAGAATTTTCTTTTCTTATCAAATTCCTATCCTTGCTTACACACAGGGTACATCCTTTCAGTAGCTCAGCAGTCAAGAAGGGTATTATGCTTGTCCTTGGAAAAGATTTGTCTTCTTCATGCTTGGGATCTTACTGGAGAAATTAAAGAAACATGAACAAGTGGAGCAGATAAAAGCCTTTCTTCTCAGAGAAAGCAGAAGCAGTCTGTTTGGTTCCTGTCTCCTCATCAGCTTCACTAGCTCCGAGCTATCTTGTTGCCTATGGGCATAACTCCAGACATTTTCTTGATATCATTGTCTTAATTAGTGATTGAGGTACACAATACATTAGTGAAGGCTGGCATGTGTACTCACTCAAACACTGAGGAAGATCAGATATGCCAGTATCTGGGCACGGTGAGGGCAACCTGCACCCCAGGGACAGCCAGCTGGCAGCTGTGGACCCCACCACTGCCAGCCAGGGAGCAGGGCTGGCTGGGGGCAACCAGGGGCATCCCCCAGCCCAGACTATCAGGCAACTCCCTGGGGAAGGGGATGAGCTGAGGCTGAGATGGGACGTCAGCCCATGGGTCAGGGCCCAGCTCGGCAGAGCCTGTGGCTGGGCAGGGCAGGGCTGCGGGGAGCTGGAGCCCAACACTTGTACAGTGTCACTGGGGCAGGGATTGAGATGGTGAAACCCCAGTAGTTTCTATTTGGTATAAGGAGAATATCCTTATTGCTTTTATCCGTAAAGAAGAGATACTATTTTGATCTTATTTTGTAGGGAGGAACTCTTGACACCTCGTGAGACAAGTCAATGTTCACTATACCTTTCTTTGGACTTTGAGTCCTATATGTTAACAACTAGGCAGCCCAGGGTGAGCCCATGCCTCATAGCCTTTAAATATTGCTGCCTGAATGTCAGCAGGTGGAACTGATAAAGCCTATGCCAGATTGAAATGGAGTCTGGATTTCACTCTCTGTAACCTGATTCACCAGGCCATGTCTTTTTGGTTACAGAGGGACTGTAGTGTGCTGTTACCAAAGGTGCCAAGAGTAAAATACACATATATACAATGATAGGGAACCAAACTGAAAACTGTGATCAGAAATATATGTTTTACAAAAAAAATAATAGAGTAGTTGGATTTACCTTGGTAGTTTTGTCATTTCCCTCACTCCCATATGTCTATCGGCTTTAGGACACACCCATTACTTGAACAGCAAGTAAGACAATTTCATCCCTTTGAGGTATTCGAAGTTATTGCCTTTCCAGAATGGGTGGAATTTCAAGAGATAAATTACCATAGATCAATAATTATTTATTAAAGAAGAATTATTTTTGAATTAATAAAAAATATTGAAGAAACCTCGTGCACTGTGCATGTAACTCCTCTTGAGCAGGAAGAATCAGGAAAGGAGCAAGTGTGAAACAGCTATGGGTACTTTGATGACCTGTTACTTTTGATGATATTTCAACTATAAAAATACCTGAAACTACTAGTTTAAAATGTCTTAACTGTGGAAGGTTTGTCAGCAGAGTGGTTAGTACCCTGGAAACTGGTTCTTTTCCTACTCCAAGATAACCTGAGGATACAGCTCTTCAGAACATGATGCAAAGCTTATCTGAAGTTTCACAGATGGGAAACTTGTAAAATTTCGTGGTCTGTGTGAACTGGGAGAGTCTTGCCAGTAAAAAGTGTCCTTGTTTGAGTTTTGTGTCAGTCTTCATCTAGCAGGATACTTCTGTGTAGGTGGACCTGTGGTGGTTGTGGTATTAAGGCATCCTTTACTCATCGCATGACCTGAAATTGCATGTTTAAGTGTTGCTAACTGCAGGGCTGCTGTCTTCTTACTGCTCCCTTTCTGTCCTTCATTGCTGTATGTAAAACACTATGTATTAGGAGATAGCACTGGGATAGTTGGATATTTATAAATGAATGATCTCAGACAAACTTGAAAAAAAAAAAAAGAATTTATTCTGGATGAGAAGGGAGTCTGAGAAGCTCAAAGTTACCCAAGGCAACGGGACACTCGTTCACTTCAGGGGTTAGTGCTTGGCCCTAATAGACTTGCTAAACTGTATAAACTCAAATGTGATTAAAGTGTTGTAATTAGCTTGCTGACATTCACACACTCAAAGGGAAGGCAAGCAGCATTCCTTGGCAGAAGTGACATGCTGGGGTAGCTGACAGTGTGTCATGGCCTATTTAAACAGGCAACCTGTCTGTTATGCTGATTTACGCTCTTCTGGGTAAACAAACACATGATCTCTGCCTTCACACCACCTCCAATATGCCAGCAATTGGTACAGAAATCCTTTCAAAGGGTTTGGTCCTAAACACTTCCTTTCTCTATATCCCTGTTTCTTGAGGTATGGACAGGTGCTGAGGAACCCTGGCTTTCTGCCCACATGAAATGCAACCAGTCCAGTCAGCAGCTTGCTTATGCTGTAATTTTACAATCATCTTAGCCAGACATGTAGCAGCTCTCTTTAAAAAAGCTGTCCCATACTGATCTCCTTAGATATACCTGGTCTTTGTACTTGCCCATGAATTTCTTCTCCCACTTGTGGGGCAATGTGATGAATAACTAAAAACTGGGGAGCAGAATCGATGAAACTAGCCCAAGGTAAAAAATTCAGTGGAGGAACATTAGAGATGATGAAGTTAGTTGGAAATATAGGCAAAAAGTGAGTGAGGAAAAATGCAGAATGGAAGGGGAAGAAAAGAAAAAATGTGATAGATGAGCCATCAGAGGGAAGAAGTGAATGAGGAGAAAAGTGTATCATGAAAGCTAGGGACAGAACAGGTGTTAAATGGATGTATTTAGAAGTCAGTGCTAAAAGCACAAGAGAATAGGAGGTTATTTAGAAGATTAGGAGAGAAATCATGGACATGGACAGATTAGAAGTGGGGCAATGGTAACATAGCATGGTTAACCTTGCTTTTTACGTGGACAGTATAGAAAAACGTGAAATAAAAAATCACAGTGACAGTTCATAGATCATAAGTCAGAGGGAAAAGACAAGTGGTTAAAGAAATGGAATAAGAAAAGTCAAAACAATCTTGTATAGATTGGTGGGAATTCTGTGTTGAATAAAGAAAGAGAGGATGTAAGAGTCAGCACCTGGCAATAAGTTCACTGAAATAACCAAGGCTAGAAGCTGGTGGCAGTGTTTGGGAGGAGGAACAAATATCAGAGTGAGAGAGAGGGGGAAGATCTGGCAGTAGTGTGAGTAGCATATTAACAGCACCATGAAGTGAGGTTGGAACAGAACGGGAGAAAGGCAGAGAGCTGGAAATGGTAAGAGGCAGAGAGAAAAAAGCTTTGTTCCTTTGCATTGGTTTTATGGAAATTAATCTCAGTTGGGAACATTTCAGAAGGAGAGGGTTTACTTTGAAAGTTTTAGCTTTTGTTTTAGCTGCTCTTCCAGAGTGAGGTCTGAATTTCTCTACGACAGGCAATATATTGCATGAGGTCTGCAAGCAGACAGAGAATATGTGCCAAAGGGCATCTCAAAAGTGAACTCAGAGCAATATAGCTGAATGTGCCAGATGCTGATGAGAGATTTATTTCTGTGCTTTGGCGGCTGATGTGTTTAGCTCTATCTTCCTTTGGACTGTGAAGCTGCAATGAAAGACAAATGTGTATGTCCCCATGATACAATATGGTGCATTTTTAGAAATTCCCAAGCAAAATTTTAGCAGGCTTATATGTCTGCCCGGTTTGATTCAGTGCTGTGTGAGACCTAGCACAGTGACCTGGAAGCAGTATAGCTACCTCAGCTTCTGTTCTGGATTTACTTCATTCAAGCACTAGCTGGGAGTCTCTGTACCATGCTATATTTGTGGACATAGGGCCATGTCCAGTGTGACAATTGGGAAGTCCTAGCTGACCACAGAGATGTTTCATGATGTTTCCATAGCTATCCTATTTGTTAATTTCAAATGGTATATCTGTATCTACTTATATCTATCTCCTATTTTTTTCTTCAGTTAGAGTAAAATATAAATACCTTAATCAATTATTAATTGTCGGGGAATTAAAATCCTTGGCTGACTAGCTCAGTTGACTTCATGAACATTATTTGTATTTACCACCCTTCTTGCTGCTTCTAACATCAGCTTTTCTCATTGGGGATTTTTTCCTTTGGCAATTATTGCTACAAGAACAATATTTATGAATTTCTTTGTGGTGTTGGTCCTCTACTACTCAACTGCTTTGTATCTTCTGTCATTTTTCTATGCATTGTATCTTTCTTCCACCTCAATAGCTATTTAGTTCAGTCTTATATTCAGCTCTTGTATACAGAGGATGCTACTATAACTTTGAGCAGGTATTAAAAAGTTTAAATCTAAGCTGTGCCCGTGGCCCTAGAATTTTCCCTTTGGAGCCTATACAGACTTACATAGGATATGGTAAGGCATGCATCAGTCTGATTTGTTGTCTCTTTCTTTGCAGCATGCAATTGATGCTGATAATGCAGGAGTCAGTCCCATAGGAAATTCTTCTAACAACAGCAGTCATTGGGACCTTGGAAGTGCCTTTTTCTTTGCTGGAACAGTCATCACAACTATAGGTATGTTTATCTTTTAAAATACATAGTCACACTGAGACCTGGATAATGAAATAAAATTGACGAAGGTAGATCACAATGAGATAAAGTGTCTGAACTTTATTCCTTTCAATTCTCAGAAGGCATGCCTCTGGTATGTGCCAAGAGCATTGAGTATCCCAGTAAATATGGGACACTGTTTACATAATTAGGGTAGAATAGCAATGCTGAACTGAAAACAAGTAGCACTGATGTAGCTAAGGCTTTATAACCCTGTTCTTCATGTAGGTGCAGGTGCATTTAATTTTCAGTAAAAAGATGAAGAACCAGTATCCAATGAAATAGCTATTGTATAGTTGTTGGGAATTTGGATTTTAATATTATAGATTAATTTACCCGTAAGGGTAACTTTCTTCCTAAGTACGTCAATTAATTTTGGCTTATGCACTGAAGTTTGATATAATTCATTCTTCATATACCCTACTCCTCGTAACTGGAAATGTGTTCACATAAATATCACATCCTTTTTAAAATCCTTCCTCACTTTCATACTAATAATTAGAAGGAATTTCTCCCACAGTATTTTTTTTCCATTCTAGAATTCATGGCCTTAAATTTTGACACATTTCTCTGTATTAGAGGAAGGGTATACTGGACTGCTCCATTTACTTTTCTTGAACCATTAATTTTAGTAAATTCCTTATTCAAGCCTTTGTCACCTAAACTCCCTATACATTATATCCAATGTACTTAGTCTGTCAGTCCCTGAATGCTGGCCTTACATATGCTAAGGTTTTTATCCTCTCCTCTGTGAGCCAGTTCCGCTCTTGAAGACTGTTCAGGCAGTCAGGATTTCAGAAGATGGTCTGAAGGGAAAAAATGATAAACTGGACATTGATAAAAAGCTTAAAGTGCTGATATTATTCAGTGGTTTGATAATTTTAAGCTTGATTTCAGTGTTGTCATAGTTAGAAGATTATTTGGAAACAAATGGCAAATTGTTGATTTTTATTTGCATTGGCTCTGAGTATTCTGATTTAAATGCGGGATATGGTTCTTTTCCATATTATGACTGAGATACACACTGGTGACTGTATAGACAAATAATCTGGCAATCGCATAATCTTTCATTAAAGTGTGAGAATCTGACTGAATTCTGCAAGTTCTTTATGCAGCTAATGCAACAAAAAAAAGTCCTGTGGCAGTTACAGGGCTCACTGTGGTGATCATCTCAAACAGTGCCTTGCTCTGTGCCTTTGCCTCTGGCTTTTCTCTGTTCTCAGAGTAAGGGTGACAGAGCGATTGTATAGAGTGTACTCCTCTCTGTGTTCCTCTACATACTAAGCTACATTATGATGTATTTTTAATGTTAGCATAAAACCAGAGGGTGGAGAGAAAGAAAACATTTCTGAATCAAATGTAAGATAACCCTCCCTTAATATTTGTTTACTCAATAGACCCAAGTGACAAGCTTTTAAATTACTCATTAAAATAAATGCCGCTATGTCGGCATAGTTTATGTAGGCATATTCATTGACATCTGCTATTTAAATAACTTATTGAAAAGAGCTTGGATTTTTGCCCATATTTCCTTTAAATTCTCTGTGAAAGATTTTTATAGGCTGCATAAAGTCTATGTATTGTGTCTGGGCATGAAAATTATTTTATTTTATCCACCAGGGCTGTGTTAGAGCTTCTCTTAGGCAGACACTCAGCAGACTACCTGGTCAACCTCAGTCCACTGGCCTGTGTAGCCTGGATTCTCTTGGACTTGAAGGAGAAGCCTGGCATCGCAGATATAGCCATGAAAAGGGCTGGGCTGGGGGGGAGGCAGTGTTGTGTGTCAGCATAGTCCTTTCATCATCCCATGACAGAGTGATGTATCCAGTTCCAGTGTCACAGACCTAACAGGATTAGGATCTTGGAGCCCAGCCTTAATTCCCAAGGACCAGGAATAATGGCTGTAGATGAAGCAGAAACTCTTAAATTGCCATCTCTATGGATGCTCTGTGTTTCCACTTTATCTCGTCAGTGACCTGTGATTGTGTGATCATTTTTAATTTTAAAATAATTGTGTATAGAAAAAATACAAATCTCTATAACATTTCAGTAAAGATACCTGTTCTTAAATAAAAAGGTGCAAATATTGCTGTGACAATTCTTGTTTTTTCTTTTTAACATTAACATTTTAACAGCAATACCATGGCTGCTAGAGTCATAATGCTTTACATAGATTCCTACAGCTAAATTCACATGGGTGATGCGGTGAAGAGAAGTGCCTGAATAAACTGTGGTGACTAAATGTAGTTTACTGCATGGGACAGGTGGAGTGCTGTCCTATGCATTCATCAGCATGTTAGACTTTTAAGAATACCACAGAGGAGTGCTCCAAACAAGATTCTTGCTACCTTCCAGGGTGTAAAGGGTCCATTACTCATGCTTTCCCATCTCTCCAGATTGCCTGATAAACTGCCTATTTACGTGTCGGTTATAGAAAACCCAAGGTAAAGAGGATTGCAACATTTTGGAATAGTTAACAGAAGATACACTGATCGTGATAGACTTAGCACCTAAAAGATAGTCTGTCTCTCTCTTAGGTACCCTGTACTGATAATTAGACCTTTTCTGCCAGTATCAGAGGTTCCCAATATCTTATATGGGGTTACAAGGCTGGGAACAGAAATCAAATATAACCGAACATGCTTGGGCCAAAAAAAGAATTTTCAGTCAGGATATGCAGCCAGATAATCATGTCTTGGTCAGAACCTGTCATCTTTTCAACAGCCCTGGGTTACCCTAACAGAGGGTGGAAGGAAGGTATGTATGTGCCTTTATTACAGGAACAACAATGATTTTAAAATACAAATGCAGTAGGATTTTCAGAGGGAAGGCTTAAAAACTTCATTGTTAAAACCTCTTGAAATAGAAATGTTAGGCTTTTTATTGTCAAATTGAAAGGGGAACTGAATAAAGAGTTCAAGGGCAGATTCAGATAGCACGGATACAGTTTGGAGACTGTGGTGTAATTAGTCAGTGTGATGTGTGGCTGTGGAAATTATGAGCTAACCACTGAAAATGAGCCTTGTCAGGTGAATCACACTCCCATCAGGAAGTCATTGGCACAGCCCAAGAAGAGCAGCAGCACACAGGCACCAGGCCAGGATGGAGTGATGTTTGTGCCATCATAAATCAAGCCAGATTAATTCATCAAACAACAACTTTAGAGAGGACCTGCATCTATAGAACATATGAGTAACTGAGGCTACAAGAATTAAATCACAGCTTGCCTGGGAAATGACATCATGTCATGGAAAGTCTGTAAATAGGAATTACATAGGGAAGAAAGGTATCCCTGCAGCAAAAGTCCATTAGTTTTTATAAAAAGCCATGTATAAGTTCTGAGAATCTGACAAATGTTTTTCTCCCCAGGATATGGGAACATTGCTCCAAGCACTGTTGGAGGCAAGGTTTTCTGCATTTTGTATGCCATCTTTGGGATTCCACTGTTTGGCTTCTTGCTGGCTGGGATCGGAGACCAACTTGGAACCATTTTTGGGAAGGGTATCGCAAGGGTGGAAAAAGTTTTCAGAGTAAGATCACTGTCAATTTTTTGCTTGTGTTCTATAACTTGATTTTAATTCTATTGCTGTTACCTGCAGTCCTTTTTACATGTTAAGCACCATGAAATATTTACATGTCTAGCTGAGATGATGCTTAATCTCCTTAGTGGGCTCTGTAGTCAGTGGAGAGAGACTTCTGTAGGTGGTGATTGCAAGGATTATAGATCAGGCTCTGAATTTCCTTCTTGAGGCTATGTTTTGGGAATGTATCTCCTAAGCCAGGTTCCTTACAAGGACTGGCTGTAAAACAACCTTCAGGTTGGTTTGGATATGTATGTCCATTCACTGAAAATAGAGACGAAGTAGTATAACTTCTGGAGGAACAAGGATGCAGAGTAGGTCCTGATGTATTACTAATAAAGCCTAAAAGACTTTGAAATCAGGGTTACTGGAGTGAATGTGAACTTGGGAAGAGAGATGGTTGAGTGGTATACCTTCAATGTAAGAGAACAGATGCGTTGAACTAGATCTAGAGCTGCAAAAACTGGCATAATGCCACTGACTGGAATCATCTTCATGGTATTTACCTGCCCTGCCTACCATGGGTACATCCTATACATTTCTGTGTAGATTTTCTCGTATGTAATTTCCCTTCATGTTGCCAGTACCCTCTGTTTTCGAGTCTGTATCACTGTTCTTTCACAAGCAGTGCCGCAGACCTGGCAAATGCTGTTTTGCTAATTTGCCGATGGTTCACTTCAGGGATTCGCTCTTTGGAGCAGAACTTCTAGAAGTGACCTGTGTGATGGTTCCCTTGGAGGTGGTGTAACTGGAGGTAAGTCTTTCCAAGGATGGAGTGGATGAGAAGCTGTCCAAGCTGCTTAATTGAATAAGCATCTATTTCTAAAACATTTCCACAAATGAGAGCAAATTACTTGTAACTGGTTTTGAAAGGAAGTAATTGGGTATTAGACTGGAGTATGAGCAATTTCCCTTTTGATTAAATTAGTGTGAAGTGTCCCAGACCAGCCATAAGAAGTCTCTCTCAGGCTAAATGTGGAGAAAGGTGACTAGTGATTATGGGTGAATAAGCATTTACATGCCTGACTGGAGAACACTTGAAAATGGCCTACATTTTCATTAAATGAAAATAAAGTTATTGAAAGCTGGCTCAGGTTGGGTCTGAAAAAACAGAAGTAGCTAAGATCACTAGTTTCTTTCTTACCCAGCTTCTTATTGTATCTGCTTCACCTCAAAGGAATATCTGAACTTTCCAGCCTGCTTCTGTCCAAGAAAAAATATAGTCTCACAGTCATGATATGAATTGAGAATCAGAAAATCTTTGATTGTCAGCTGTACTATTGGCTTTCTGGGTGATGTGGTCGAGACCATTAAACTGTCAGCACGATAGTTTATGAATAAAATAATACATGTTCTATTTGAAGTATTTTAAGATTCATAGATGAATGCTGATACTAATTTTTCACACAGAATATAGCCCTTTGGCACATAATGGGAGTTCTTTTGGTATTCAAAGTACTCCTTCCTTTTCTTGAGTTAATGCAGTTGCTTGTTTATATCCATCTCAACTATTTCTTTTCCTCCTTGGTATTTTGTCAGCTTCCAAAGCAATTTAGAGATCTGTGGTCCCATTGTTTAGCCAAGATATATGCTTATTCCTTTTATTTTGATTCTCATAAATACATTATATCTCTTGTTTTGTGATTTGATGGACAGGGTTATACATAATTTCCTTCAATATTCCTAGTAATGAGGTTTAGCTATTTGAAATATTCATGATATAGTTTACACTTAGTATCTTAGTTACTAGTTAGCATCTTAGTAACTAGTCTTAATATCAGTGGTTTCATTTTATATGATTATTTATATAGTATTTGACATATTATATATGATCATTAATCTATTATATATGATATATACTTTATATTCTTAGCTAATGCAGAATATAATAATCAGAATTGTAGTAATTATGTAAATTACTATCACATTTTGTTTATCTTCTTAGACGCCATAAATATTTGGACCTAATCAGAGAATCCACAAATGGAATAACAATTCTTGATTTAATCCTGAGCAGTAAAGAAAATTTAGTTCAGTGTGTAACTCCTGTTTCTCACTTTGTAATGGTCTCCATAATGAACTCAAATCCAGCATGTGTGTGGGCCTAAGGCAACCTGTTACAACCTTTAAAGGGAGGGCATAAAAATTAGAATAGTTAGGAGGAAACTAAAAGGAACAAATGTAGGCTGAAAAGACATTGACAGGGTAATAAAATGTCGGGTGGTGTGCCTCACAAATCTTTTGGAGTGAGCTGAGAGATCACTGAGTGTATATCAATGATCTAGTGATATAACAAATTGAATTTCTGGAAAGCTTTTCACAAGTTTTCTCATCAAAGTCTATAAGGAAATGAAACTGCGATGAGGTAAGAGAAAAGGTCTCACACGTCAGTACGTGTTTAAGGGGTAACTGGAGATTAGGAATAGTTGATAGCTCTATCAGTATGATTCCATTGGAGTCCTTCTGGAACTTTACTGTTTTAACAGAGATGGCCTGGAATGGTTCAGACAAGAAGATGAATATGCAGGTGATAGTCTGAAAATTACATCTCTAGGTGTTTCAGGATAGCTAAAATGGAAGCTGCAAAAGGGTGATAAGATGAAAAATGGAATCCAGTGTTGGCAATATAAAATAATGGATATTTCTTGAGTTTGAGGAAAGAAATCCTAATATATTCATATATGTATGGTACCAGATTTCACTTTTCCAGAAAGGACTTAGGCAGCTGAGTGTTTCTGAAATCCTTGCAACTTTGTCATCATCTGTGCAGGTGGATGGGATCTGAAGGCAACTTGATCTTGTGTTGTGGTTAGGATGATTTCTGAAGCTAGATAAGAGGCAGTATGCACACATTGGCAGGCGAGAAGGAGAGGAAGGTTTCTCTGTCAGAACAGCAGTCATTTCACCCAACACATTTCCTTAACAGGTCTCTTGCTCTAGCCAGCAGTGTAACTGTGAGCATGAGTCCACACCAGGCAAGGGACAGCTTGCCCCTGGCATCCCCCAGCATACCTGGAAAGATGAAAGGAGGATTTCTCCCACAGTAGTTGTGCTAGGGCACTTCTGCTGCCTCTGACATGACCTGTGCAGAGACCCACCAAACCTACCATTAATAAGCAGCACAAATTAGAGCCTAAAAATGCCACGTTTAGCTATTGCAGTGATCAGCCCACGCACTCTGTGGGAATTTTAAGAACAATATGAACTCCATAAAGAGGGAAAGAGATCTGCTCTTAACAAATACACACTACCCCCACAGTATTGACAGAATATTTCAGCAGAGGAGCTGGACCCATGACACTGCTCATCTTGTAATCCAAAATGTTGCCACTATTTCAGTGTGTAGATAACCAGGAAAACAACTATTCATTTGTGAGTAGGTAGGGCTGGAAGCATTTCATTGCAAAATAATGCTTTGTAAAAACAGGAACTTTTCATGTACCATTTTAGGAAAGGGAGGCACTGGCAGAATGACGTTGCCTGTGATACGAGTTGGTATCCCAAACACCACACATTGGCTGTTCTATGCCATCTGTCCTACAGTAGTAATTGTGTTTGGTACAAGTGAATAAACATCAACCAGGTCAGAGATGTAAACCAAAGCATCCCCCACGGAAGCCCTACCTACTCAGTTACTGATTATTCCTGTATGTCCCATCTTCAGTATTCAGGGACAGAAACTAGATACTAGTCTGTTCTCACGTGTGTACACATGTGATTCCCCAGAAAATGGGTATGTAGAGGGTCACCAGTTTCACTATATATGCAGTGGTTACAAACATTGAATATCTGGGTCAGTCAGTCCTCCTGGCCTGAGAAAATCACATACAAACTCAAAATCTTATTAAAAATGTGACAATTCTTGTCATTATTTTCAGCTGGCAAAACTTTACAGACACTACAGAAATGAAATATACATTAAAAGGTGGCATAAAACTATAAAAGTACTATTGCTATCTTACATATATGAGGGATCTTATGATCGACCTGAGACTGTTTGTATAATAAACAACAGAACAAACCCCATTCTTTTGGCTTGCTTTGTATGCACAGAGGCTGCGAGCATCTAAAGATAGAAAGGAAAGCACTCCATAGGCAGAGTGCACAGTTACAGAATGCAGCAGCTGTCATTATCATGGGTTAAATATAGGCTAAATTCAGATAGTCTTTATTCAAACCTTGTAACAAGCGTTTAGATTCTCGCTGGAAGTAGAAGGGATGAGCATAAACCAGCAGATCTTCCCTCATCTTGCAGTTCAGTACAGATGCAGGCGTTCAGCCTGGGCACAACATGCTTCTGAGAGTGCTACAGGATTTTCTGGCTTCTGAGGTGAAGCCACTGTGAGCAGTTCCTGGATTTGGTTAGTGCTTTCACTCCTCTGGCTTCCAGCATGAGGCTGAGGAGAGGTCTGGCAACACAGCTGGTGGGGTGTGAATTGCAATACAGGGATTGCAAACAGCCAAAGATGTGGGTGATGGCAAGGCTGCACCCCTGAAGTTCACGTCTCAAGAAAACACACAACTTTGTGCAGAAACACAATGCCTCTGTAAACAACTCACATTTCACTGAATCAGGGACTTGTCAGAACAGACACATCCACTGCTTGTCTTTCAGGTTTTCAGCTTAGAGAACCTGTTTGCCTGTTGATCTCTTGGGAAATGGTGTGCTCTAGATTTAAGAGATGTGTAAGTGTTATGAAAATGATATACGCTTTTGTTTTTCCTTTTTCCTGAAAGACAGCAGTAGACATTACCTTAACCTTGAAACAGTCCTAGGAGAAGTAGTTCATCTTGGAAAATGGTGCTGGAGCTGGGACAGGAGTAAGACAGGTCCCACTGAGGTGGTAGAAACCCTACTTTTAGCAACTGCCAAAGCTTTACCTTTCTTAAACTCTGTTGTTTGTCTTCCTGAATACATCAGATCTACCCTAGCTACGCTTTCATTTAGA